CCTGTCCCATGTATAAACCTTGGTTGGGTAAAACAGATGAAATATGATGAAGTGCATTTTTGAAAGGCATCAGCCACGATTACGCACCATCATTGTTTTGTGTTGTTTTCCCACAACAACTAGGGTCATTTGATCCGTTTCGTAGATTCACCGCCCTCGAATGATAGGTCAACCATTTGGGTGCGCTCAGGTTTGTGTCTCGATCCGTTGGCGGAGATGGCGAAGGTGGACCATTCCGACCGGCTTCACCGAAGGTTCATAGGTGGAAATATAATTAGTTTGAAAGTGGTTAGTGGCGCGGTTATAGCTAAAAAAATACGTGTCAAGATTGCCAAGATGCCAAGTTTTCTTGATGTTTCCAGATTGTCCTTGCTTCTTAGCGTCGTAGCAAGAGCTCCCATGCCATGCTGTCAACGCTGTCCGTGCTTCCAGAAGCACACGTGCCAGAGCTGCAGCCAGGAGTGTTAGCCGCCAAGCAAGTGCAGCAGCTTGTCTTGGCGATAAGTGCTTTTGCGGGACTCGAATGTGTGCCTGAGATAGGTTGATATGGTCCGTTTGTGCAGAGAATGCCACATGCTGATAAAGCTGATGTAGTGTTGGTGCAATCAGATGCCAGGAGACTACTGAATTAACCAATGATAGCAACTTTTGACCCTATGTTTTCCACTGCATTCTAAGTTTGATGTGATATCATATCATTATTTTATATATCTAACCCTGGCCTTTTTCATCCCCAAATCAACGGTTCATCAATGGTTCATCGGCTTTGTCCGAAAATATAGAGAAAATACCCAACACCACCAGGGTTTATCAATATTTTGCTCATTAAAATGCAATTTCCGGGGCAGAGCATGGTATACCCTATTTTCAGACTCAGACACACCCATATCATATTGTTGATTGACTAATTATATCCCATCAACTATCCCCAGTGTATCCCCACCTTTTGATCCCACATGTAATTAACATCTTGCCAGCATGCTGTCGGGAAATTAGCAGAAAGAATAGATAGAGTCAATTTTAGATTATAGCATATTATAGCTGAAGGCCCATTGCGGCAATAGACTGGTTCCCAAATGGTTCCCTTCCGCAAAAACATATATCCGCCCCAGCATCTCCCAGCAGTTCCAGGCCCAGTTGTGGGAGATGACGGAGGCTGTGGCGGACGCCTTGGAACGTGCCGAGATTCGCCTGATGGAACGCGCGGAGTTGGGCGTGGCGGGCGAAAGCTCCATGGGAGCCCTCGGATCCATGGCGGCCTCGATGGCAGAGGCGGCACTGCAAAAGAGAAGACCCATAGGAAAACTGCAAAACATGACGAAAACTCCATAGTTTGATATAGTTTGATCATGTTTGATATGGGAACATGGATGAATATGGGCTAATCTAGTCTACACGATTTCTATTGGCCTACATTGTGCCTTGAAATTGGCGAAATTGATGATAAACACTGGGTCTTGGGGTGGCATTTGCCACAGATCCAAACAGTATTCTTGTTTTTTTTTGAACTTGGGGATGATGATCAAAGTTGGCTTATTATAGTCACAGTACGAATAACATCACATAATCATTATCGATCAGAATCATGACAATCAATGTGGAGGGCCTAGTGTCGAACGATATGATCAATTAAACAAATACGACAATTATGATCAGTCAAAACATATTCACAATCATGCCAAATTGCCAATATCAACGACGAGAATCAGAGTTACCAGCCCGTGACAATAACAACTATAATGATGTAGAACAACAACAACAACAACAACAACAGCAACAGCAACAGCAACAGCAACAACAAGAACAACAAGAACAACAAGAACAACAAGAACAAGAACAACAGCAACAGCAACAACAACAACAAGAACAACAAGAACAAGAACAAGAACAAGAACAACACCAACACCAACAGCAACAGCAACAGCAACAGCAACAGCAACAGCAACAACAACAACAAGAACAACAAGAACAACAAGAACAACAAGAAGAACAAGAACAACAAGAAGAACAAGAAGAACAAGAAGAACAAGAACAAGAACAAGAACAACAGCAACAGCAACAGCAACAGCAACAACAACAACAACAACAACAAGAACAAGAACAAGAACAACACCAACAGCAACAGCAACAGCAACAGCAACAGCAACAGCAACAACAACAACAACAACAACAACAAGAACAACAACAACAACAACAACAACAACAACAACAACAACAACAACAACAACAACAACAACAACATATAATAATATTGTTATATATATATATATACACGTGTATATATATATATATAATACAGTCATATACAGTCATCATAGTCAATTAGTACGACAATCCTGATCAATCATCATGATAACCGCTGGCCCTGGGGCTCAGCCATTGGTTCCATAGGCCAGCGGCGGCCTTGCCACAACCGCCGAGACCGCTGCGGTGACGCTGGCAGGCCTCGAGGCGGATACGGCCTCTTGGTGGCGCATGGGGAGTAGGGCCTTGGAGAAGACTCCAGGCTATAAATGACTGTAAATAATGCTTAATAAAGCTTAAGAATTGTTAATAATGGAATTTCAATGAATTTCATGGGGTATTCATGGGATATTAATAGGGCTTTACAATGGGGATGGTTTATTTCATGGAAAATCCCGTATTAAAATGGATGATCACTGGGGGCACCATGGATTGGAAAGCTCCAAATGATGGCCACATAGTGGATGGTACCAATCCCAATGGATCCAAAATCATGACCCATATCCAATTTAAGTGTCCAATTGTCAAATACATTGTTGAACATTTGGGGGGTATGGTAAAAATCGCTGGGTACACACTTACACGAGAGGATCAAGCTCCATGTCTTGTTTTGGATTGGGGATGGTTTATGATTTGGGTTTGCCACATGACATTTCTAGAATGTGCAGGATTTGAATTTGTCAACAGACTGAAGGCTTTTGTTTGGCCTGCCTGGCTGCCTGCTATGTTTGCTATATTCTTGAGCAACAAACAAGGTTCTTACAGCATCTGCAGTTGCTGCAATTGCAGCTTTTGCTGCGAGGACGGACAAATTCCCGTGTAGCCGGGAGTTTTGGAGACCAAACCACATGGCAGGAAGATTTTTTTTCCTTCCTTAGGGGTTTTGCAGGTTCGGAATGGTGGTCGAAACAATTCTGGGTTTGTTTGAACATATAGGGTGCCCCCAAATCTCATGATTGATCATCATTTTTTCCAGCAAGATTGTAATTTTGCACAAAATTAATAAGCATATGCCCCGCTGATTTCATGATACGTGTGATCCGGGTGAGGAGCGCTGCAAAGAAGCGAATGGCTGAGTGGGAGGTCGCTATGGAAGAGCGACTCTGATGCAGGTGAATGCCCGGGCACTGATTCAGAAATGGTGAATACGCCCAAAATTCATCAAAATTCAATTGTCATGGGGAAATAAATTGGAAATCATATAAGGAAGTTTGGGGTAACCAATTTTTAGAATAGCACGCGGAATCACAAAAAAGAACGGCTTCCACGTGTCAAGGAGCCCACGTGAAGTCCAAACAGGGCCCAGCAATTACTCATAAGTGTCTCAAGACGGCTGAGTGCAATTAGGGCATGCCAAGCTGTCTATTTTTCTTACCAACAAAACATTGACCATGGACCCAAGGGATGCACACGTGGCCCACCTACAGCAAGCTTGGCGGGCAGTCCTGCGACAACATCCTGAAGCAGTGGGGCAGCTCATTCCGGTGGTCTATTGGATTCAATCATATTCAATCATATTCAATTGGTGTGGTAGACCCAGATTGAAGGACCACATCTTCTTTCGGCCCTAATTGAGTTCTTCAATCTATTTTTTTGTGTGCTTCATTGACATGTCTAATGTCATGACAGTGGTAATAACATGCAATAACACTTCTGTGCAAGTATGTTGATAGGAGATGATTGTGCTTCCTTTCTGCCTACCACCCTGATCAAAGTCCCTCTTACAGGAGCCACCTTCGATGGGTTTTTCTTTTCCTCCTACCACCCTTACAGTACATGATCCGACTCATAGTGACTGGCATTATGGAATGCGATGATTCAGTGTAGAACGCGGCGCCAGATGTGCCACAGTAGCACCTACTAGGACCTACTACATACTTGCCCACTAACAGACTGAGACTGGAAGCGGCTCGGCGTTGGAGTTGATGAATTGCCTGAGGTTATAGAGGTTTAACCAGCCATAACCAGCCGAACATTTCTGAGTCGACTTGCTGTGAAGGTCCTGGAAGCCAACTTTTTGGGTCAGCCCTTCGGATGTGAGCAGGTGCTGTCATGGGCAGACACGTGTCGGAACAGAGGTTCTGAATCTGGCTGTTGCTGCTGTGAACCATGGCAATGTGATGCAATACGTGTGCACTGGTATCATATAGTTGCGCAAGTGTTCCTAACAGGCATATGAACCATAGAGAACCTGAACTCTGTATAAATGTACATTAAATGTACTAACATTGCAAAATAAGGTCGATAGGTTCGATCACATGTTTCTTTCGGCCTGCTTTTCTTACCTACAGTGACCTACAGGTGAAGCAGCGCTGGCCACGGCTGGTGCAAACCCTTGGTATCTCAGAGGATCAGGTGCCTTGATTTCGATGCAGATGGAGAATTTACCGCCTAAGTCATGGAAATTTGATGCATTTGAAAGGGGCATTGAAAAACACTAGACCATCTAGACCATACTCGTAGTAAGCGAGATTAAACAATGCAACAATGTTATGGAATATGTTTGGGATACTGCAGTAGGTTATACTCACATTTTATGGCATTTTATGGTAATCTTAAGGAAGAAAATGATGGCAATCACATGGTGAAACACGGGTGCATTCGATCTTGATGGCAGGCACTGAAGATTATCGAGATGGATGCGACCCCTCTGTTGGTAGCTAGATTTGCACTGAATTTGATCCCGGTGGCCAGATTGGGCATGAATATCCCAAAGCATTGCATTGAATTGCAATGATTCAATGTACCTTGCATGCTCCGGGCAGTAGTGGACCAGTGGACCAGCCCTTGTATACATTACTTGTCAACTCCCAAGTTTTGGCCATGTTCTTGCAAGAGCCGGTGTTTCACGGGCCCCCTATCAACAAGGTTTGTTGTTTGTGACTTGATGTTCCCTGAGTTTCGCAAAAAGTGGCCAAGAACCACACAACATCCCAGTTTAAGGCATGCGAATGTATAGAGTGCCATCACCCATATTTGATCATATTTGCATTTAATATAACTATCCTAATATGTATTGATATTTACTGTAATATTTATTAATATGTATGGGAAAGGACAACCAGATAGGTCGTTTAGTCGTTTTCCACTGGATAGGTTACGCCCCCCAGATCTCCGCTTCTCAGGTCGAGTCTGATTCGGTGTCCGAAGTCCTGGCGCGTTTGGCGGCCATCAGCTCGCGTGAAAAGGCCGAAGGGATTTCGTATGGGATACCCATGGATACCCCATGACCCATGATACCTCCCCTCATTTCCAATGGTTTATCTATGTTTATCTATGTTTATCAACCATTAATGTACCGTGGCAAAATATGCAAAATATCAAATCATTCCTACGTCAAAACGTGTAGCGATCGAAAGCAAAAGATGCCTCTGTAGCATGTTTAAGGATCTTTAAGAATCTGACCGCTAAAGTGTTTCCATAACTGACATCTGCATCATAAACATCAAATACCCATTCATACCCCATAATTTCTGGCATTGTTCACTGTTCATGTTGTGAACCTTATGTGGCAGGCGTTGGAACTGGTTGGCCGCAGTCCGTCTTTGCTGGTTGGTGGAGCCATGAACGAGGCATGGATGGCTGAGAGGAAAGAAACACAGGTGAGAGATTCATCATTCTGCATTTTTTGGGGGCAGGTCTAGGATTGATATTAATCCCCACCGAATCCACGATTAAAAAACCACGGTATAGCCGTTGTCAAACAACATATTTTAGTTTCCTGAGTGCCTATCGCTTAGATGAGAATCTGGCTGATTCTGCTGGGCCAGGCTACTGGAACGAAAAACCTGGCTGCATCCACCTTGATTGATGTGCTGTATGCCGGGCGCTTGTATCGGGTCTTTGCCTCAGAGATTGCTGCGTTTTCGCTGCAGCTTGGCAGCTTGCCGCAGCAGCATGAATTTTTTCAGGTCCTTGAAGAGGAGGGCCGCGACAATGAGGGCAAGCTGAGGGAAATCGAGTTGTTGCTTGACTTAACCAAAGAAAGGAAAGATATCCTGGGGTTCCAGGGGTTTCCATGGTCTTTGTGCATTCTGAGCCAGCAGTTTCTGTTTTCATCACGAGCTGTGGATGAAGTGGGAGGCTTTGTGATACCATCGGTTTTCTTTCAAGTTGAATGATTATCGGGTAGTCAGAAGGGAGCGATTGGAGCCAAGGAGCTATAGAAAATATAGAATAGTTTCCCAACCACATGATTGATGGTTATGAGATGTTCATTTCCGTTATAATTTGTTGAATTTTATTGGGACATTATACGCTCATTGATTATATTTGATCATTTTTGCTGGTTCATTCTCAAAATTGCAACAGTTGTAACAGCTAACAATTATCCCAATGATTGTTGGATTAGATCATGTATAGATCATGTTATATCCCACTAATTCCATCTAATTCCCAGTATCACATGAATCCCCGTATTCAATGAGGAATATTAGGGATAACTGGGACAACAATGGATAACAATGATTGATGAGAATTAGCTATCTCCATCTATCTCCCATTTCTCATATTTTCTCATTAATCCATATTATCCGTCAATGTTTGATTTGATGAGGTACGCGCAGCTGTTATCTGCCTTCCGGCCCTGTGTGGACCTGGTCCTCTCGGGCCTGACGGCCCGGGATGCGACAGATGCGACACGACGCATCTTCCGCACTCTGCAGGTGGCATGTGGCACGTGGCACAACGTTGTGGAACAGTCTCAAAGGCAAACATTCGTTGTGGATAGTTTCTGAATGTTTTTGATATTTGTAGATGGTTTTGGATGATTTTGGGATATTTAGGGATTAGCAAGTGTCAGGTCTGAGTTTGTCACTGCATGTCACTGCACATCGTCAATTATTTTCAAGCATTTTCCAGTATATTGGGGCTGTTGTTCGCAGATGTATACATATACACGGATGTTTTATAAAGTTTAGTTCGAGAATGAGGGAGTCAAAACTGTCTCTCGGATGCTGTGCTGTGTCAATGGGACAACACCTGACAGGAGAGCGCGCCGAATGAATCCATTCGGGTTTTGCTGCAGCGTGTTGCAGATCCTTGGCAGACTTCGGGTCAACATGTCCCATCCAAGCCCAAAAACTGATTAAAAGGGGTTGACAAACATACATATTCAAAAACGACCCATCCGGTGGGCATTGGTATGTATGCATATATATATATACACAATATAATGTAATACATATAATATATATGTATGTACATACACACTATATATGTATATATATATATTGTGTGTGTATTGATATCCCACTCAATATACCACACATGTTGATCAATTGACCAATTGACGCGTGGCTAGCCATCTAGCTGCTTGCCCGCACTAGGATGCCTCAGATCCTTGGGCATATCTGGCAGATCAGACCCGAGCAGGTTTCAATATCGGAGGAAGACTCGTTCCTTGGATTTGCGAATGGCATCGCTTTGCTTTTCGCTTTTTCGGCGCTATGTGGTTAATGAGAATTAGTCACTATTAGTATATTGTTGTTCTTGTTATTGCTTGTTATTGCCATTGTTGTTGTTGTTGTGATTTATTTTTGTTTCTTGTCACCATTATATACATTATTCTCACTTGTATTTGTTAGTCAACATTAAATACCGGCCCATATGTATGCCATCGTTGCTGTGCAGAAATGTCTGGAAATATTGTGTTTCCCACGAGGGGGAGGAAATGCGCTTTGCCGATGCATGCATCATAGCAATCACCATAAGAATTCGGCATCACCAGCCCCCTCACCCTCACCCTCACCCATCACCCATCACCCATCACCCATCACCCATCACCCATCACCATCACTATCACCATCACCATCACCATCACCATCATCATCATCATCATCATCACCATCCTCCTCCTCCTCCTCATCACCATCATCATCATCATCATCATCATCATCATCACCATCCTCCTCCTCCTCATCATCATCATCCTCCTCCTCATCATCATCATCATCACCACCACCATCCTCCTCCTCCTCCTCATCATCATCATCACCATCCTCCTCCTCCTCATCATCATCATCATCATCACCACCATCATCACCATCCTCCTCCTCCTCATCATCATCATCCTCCTCCTCATCATCATCATCATCATCATCACCATCCTCCTCCTCCTCCTCATCATCATCATCATCATCGTCATCTTCATCTTCACCGTCATCTTCATCTTCACCTTGAGCTTCACCTTCATCTTTATCGTCATCATCAGCGTCATTATCATCATCGTCAGCATCACCGTAAGATCATCAGCATGATCAGCATTTTTATCATTTGAGATTGATTGATAGTGTCTAGCCAAAATAGTTGGGTAGTTTTTTCTGCAATTTCCACGGTAGGCTTGCCATACACACTACAGTACTACTGGATAGGAACTAAAGATAACTATAGTAGAAATCCAACAATCACAGAGATTTCAGTGCCAAAATGCAACATTACGATTGCAGCTGCACGTCGTGCACATTGTCCACACAGTACAAGGTGTCAAACCATTTTACCCTCCCGTACTCAAATATAGCTGGGAAATCCGCTATAAATGGAGGTTTCATCGATTACCAAAGGGATCCAAAGGGTAAACATCATTCAAACACTGCGCACGTGCGGACCAGGCGTTCCGTCCGGCGTTGACCAAGAAGATTTTGCCGCGGCTCGGGAGAAAGTGAACGCGTGAAACCGATCAGTTTTTGGTAGTAAGTTGCGTTTTGGGTCATCGCAGAAAAGGGAGAAACTACACATGGAAACTGAGGAAACTGAGGAAAATGCGGAAACTGATGGAATTCCTCTGCAAGCTGCCATTTTGATCCATTTTGATAGGGTGAAGCATGTGAAGCCACCGATCTGAGGCATTCCCAGTCTATTGTCACCCACCTGCCGTCCATTTACACACGGCTCTCCATCCTGGGACCGCACGTGCCAAGTATCTTGGATGATGGCAGCTGCCTATTGGGAAACCGCCGTGGTTTCCCTAAAATACCCGCCACAGCATGATGCATCCCATGTTCTTTGCGAAAATGAATGTAAATCCGTTACCTATAATATATATTATATATTATATATATTATATTATACATTAGATTATGTTTTACCATTATGTATATATATACATATTATAATATAATTACGTACGTATTTATCAATGCATTTAAGTGACTATGATGACTTTGCTGCCGGCCATTGTCCTGCTATCACTCGGCTCCCAGGCATTGTGCGGATTTTGGACCAATACCTCGACATCGTTGAACCACACCTAGATCGAATCATGGAACGAATGGACCGCATCGAGCCACATTTGCCCTACATTCTGCTTCATTTGGTGCCTGGGCTGCGGCCTGATCCTGCTGCTGTTCTTCTGTCATGTTCTCGCTTTGCTTAGGGTTGGATACAAAGTCTATCAAAGTTTCAAGGGCTTCGGCTTTGCCACACCGTGCGATTTAACGGTAGTTGGAGAAACCATCCTGATGTCCTGATTCTGCATAATTATACTGGTCACTAGTCGAAAGCGGTTTCAAGCTTTGTCCGGCACTGATTAATACTGACTGGCTTTGGCGCTCAGTGGTCCGTGCTCAAGAGGGATAGCTCGTTAAAAATTCACGACATTTTGTCACGAGTTTTATCACTCACGAGTATTTTTGCAACCCAAACTGCTTCGAAAACAAGTTAAATCAGGAAACTTCGAGCACACTGGAACCCAATCACTGAGTCGGAAAATGTATGTTAAATGTGATGCATTTCGCTCTCAGGATGTTTTGGCAAAGCATTGTGGCGCATTGCTGGATCATTTCGATTTGCTGATGCCGTACGCAGAGCTAGGCCATTTGGCCTGATGCCTGTTGAATCCGGTGGGCTCTGGAGCCCCTCTGAACTTCATTTTGACATAGGACATACCCTCTGGTAAACTAACATAGCAATGGAAAATCACAATTTTTAATGGGAAAATCCACTATAAATCACCATTTTCAATAGCTATGTTAAATTACCAGAGGGTAGGCTACTTTGGATACCAAAATTCATGTACATCTGGGATATCTGGGCGAGAAACATAGCACTTCCTGAATCATCCTGAATCCACAGTTTCCATTTCACTGCTGCAGTAGCAGAACAAGAATTCCAACAAGGGACTCCAAGTTGTACTTCTTTGGATCCGTCTTGTCTCATCTTGCGTCCCGATGTCCGCCATGCTCTATGGCTACTTTGACTCATTGAGTCACTTAAAATTTTGTTCAGACAGCACAAAATCATACAAAATCAGCAATTCTCCAAGATTCTCCAAAAAGCTGGTGAATGATGTGAATGATGTGAATGGCTAGCGCGGCATGCGGCACAGGTCGGAAGAAGACCAACCCGGAACTTGAGCAGTGCTTTGATGAGCCACGGATCGAAGCAGTCGAGGCCAGCAGACACCCTGTTTTTTTGACAACCGTGTCATGTCAGGCGCACATGGTCCATGATTCACAGCTTAAAATCAGCCATCACCCATACGAAGTTATTAATTTTGTATATATACACACATATATACATAATATAATATGATATATATATATATATATATATATATGTACATATCACACAATTGAAAATCGTGGTGTTTGCTCCCCAAGATCACCAAGAATCATGGAGTTGGAGCAAAATACTCTGGCTTCGACAGGAATGTTTGGTGGACAACCTCACAGATGGCTGGGAGGGAAACTTGGCCCTGATTTTGTTCCTCAGATTTACTCCGAAAACTTGAAACACTATATATATATATATTATTACATATTAGATAAAATATATACCTGGATCCTCGTAGGGCTGCTAAATTTTTGCCTTCAGAGAAAAATCCTGATTTGTGATTTGGAGTCGGTTCCTGCAAATCTGAATCGTTTCTTGCAATTTCGCCCGTCCATTGAAGGCCTAAAGGGGGACCAACATGTCACACTACTCGTCCATGAATGAGAGAGAACAAAATCATTGATCGATATTAATCCTCAAACCTGAAATGGTTGTTGCACAAAAACAATCGATCGATGCAAACGATAAACTCCTCAAACCTGAAGTGGTTGCTGCACATCCGCTGTGAACCTTTTTTTCACCTCGTTTCTCGGCATCCATGTCCGGGCATCCATGGACTGGTGAAGTTCCAGCCTCAAGGTGCGCTGGGTCACTCGTGTGTCATATTCAGCTGCTGTTCACTCTTGAAAGGATCGCATGAGAATGTCTATCGATCAATGCATGTCTCATGATCAATCCCTGTGACTGACCTGCATGTTGGCTATACAGTGCGGCGCCACCTGCTTCAAGTATGACCTTCATCATATGCATGCATGCACGCATTTTTTAACATTGTGGTATATTGTGGTTGTGGCATTTCCTGTGGCCTGTATCTTTATGGCCATACCTGACCTTGCCATGCCTTCCGTGAAAACCGAGCCGGCTGCTCCTCTTCATGTGTCTGGGGTTCCAGCTGCCAAAGCTTCGACTGGGAGGCGCAAGATCACTGACTTTCGCCTGGCAGAGAAGTTGGAAGACTGCCGCTTTGTCAGGGATCTTCTCCGACATACGGGGCGCCTGATTCAATGGGCAAATGAAGATGTGGTCAATGTCATTACATTGGAAGCTTTGGGGCTGAACTATCGTCTCATGGTCATGGTGGCCGATTTTCACTGCTCCCAGACCAATGTGGTCAAACCCCCGGGCATCAATTTCTTGAAAGCTCAGGCTTGAATCCAACACCAATGGAGTTCGTGAATTTTTTGGGGCGTGTTAAGAACTCATGCATGCATGTTTATAACTGTTCTTGTCATGTGTTCAACAACCAACGCTTCCTTGAAGGTGTGGAAACTTCGATCTATGCTCAGCATGCCCGTGAACCCTGTTGCCATACACCATGATTCATGGGCAGTGAAGAAATTTTTTTCCCATGCTCTTCGTCGAGCCGGTGTTGAGCGGATGGATTCTGGAGACAGCCCGTCCCGAAGAGCTGCTCAATCAACCATAGTTGAGTTTCCCATCAAGCGTTCACGACTTATACCATTTACAAGGTACGTTTTGAATTTATAAGGTCGATCCTTATTTATTGGTGGTCTCATTCTCATCTGTTGCTCTAAGGCTGCTGGTGTCACGGAATTCTTCGACGCCATGATGAATCACTGGGAGAAGCCACTCAAAGAGCTCTCTGCCCAAAGGATGCGAAAAAGGTCAGAAGGCCACACCGAAGTGATCGAGATTCCAGATGATGATTGCAAAAGCGTTTCCATGGATGAGCTTGAAAAGCAGTCCTTGCAGAAAGCGCAAGAAGGCATCATCATTGTTGATGGTGATGATTTGTTGGCGGATGATGGATACGCTAACCCCGAGGAAATTGCCAATGGCGAGGTTCCCGAAGCCATGCCCAAGCCCGAGGAGAAACCCAACACCATGACCGAGAAGAAAGCCACGATCGAGGAGAAACCTGAGGAAAAGCCCACGCTTGAGGAGCCGAAGTCTGCTGATGCTGACAACCGTGGAAAGGATCAGTCTGTCGATGCGGAGGATGCTGATGCGAAGGCTTTGGCCGCGAAGCGTCGAGAGGAGTTGATCAAGCAACTTGTTTTGCTTTCCATGGAAATTGATTTTCAAAATTTGTATAATGCATGGTTTGAAAACAGATCCTGTTGCTCTTTCAATATATTGTTCGGCGACCCGTATCCCTTTGGTTATGCTATAGCACTGTTGCTTTTCAGTGTCTATCAACGACCCGTCACTTGAGGCAAATCCATGACAAAAAGAACGAGCTGGAGAAGCAAGCAAGAATGGACGAAGCGAAGAACACTGAGAAAAAGAATGATGTCAAGGACAAGTCAGAGAAGGACCCTCCTGCTGATGTTGTGCAAACAGTTCCATACGATGTGGATGCTGCCCTCTATGAGCAGTACATGGACAATCCGGAGTCGCAATGGCGAATGGAAGAGGCAGCCAAGACACAGGAAGACGAGGAGACTAGTGAGGAGATCAACGAGAAGACGCAGCTTCTTCGAGCTAAGACTTTGAAGCTTGGTGATGAGCAAGCAGCTGCAGCCAAAGAGGGGTCTGACGAAGAGGAGCCTGCCGAAGAGAAAGGAAGAGCTTCTGTGAAGCCATTGGAGAAGGGCAAAGGTGGTGTCGTACCTCGAGCGAAGCAAAAGATGGAAAAAAAAGAAGCATCAGCAGGTGATGAGGTGCTCGCTGATGACACTGCTGGGGAGCCAGCCCCGACTGAGAATCCCTTCGGTCTGGAGAAGAAGAAAGATCAACCAGTTGACTTGCAGCTGGTGGACATTGATAGTGACGATGATGAGCTGCGCGATTCTGCTGTGCCCCTGAGTCTCTTGGAAACCATGCATGCGCAGGGACTGTCGTTGAAGGGTGCGATTGCGAGCCTTCGCAACGCAATGGTAGATGCGCCGATTGTCAAAAGGATTGAGCAGTACAAAATCAAGAAGGTGAAGGTGCAGAAGGCGAAGCCAAAGACTGAGGAGGAAGCTGGGTCAGATCAATCAGATGAGGAGGAGATGCGCGAGCCAAAAGATTCGACGAAGCCGAGGCCGAGGCCGAAGGCGAAGGGAAAATCGAAGAGCAAGGGGAAGGGCAGGGGAAGGGGAAAGGCGGCTAAGGCGAAGGCCAAGCCCTACGCCAAGAGAAAGGCACAAAAGAAGGTTGAGGAGCATGAGATCAGCGATGAATCTGACGAAGAGGACGAGGACGAGGAGGAGATCTCTAGCATGCATGCGAAGAAAAGGGCTGAGGTGAAGCTGCGCGAGGCAAAGAATGCCAAGACCAAAAATTCCGAACCCAGTTCGGATTCTGAGCTTCCCTTGCCCAAGGACAGCAAGGTGGAAAAGGTGACGAAGAAGAAGACTACTGAGGAAGCTCCGGCGAAGAAGAAGAAGAAGACTGAGGAGAAGATGACTGAGGAAGCTCCGGCGAAGAAGAAGAAGAAGACTGAGGAGAAGATGACTGAGGAAGCTCCGGCGAAGAAGAAGAAGACTGAGGAGCAGATGACTGAGGAAGCTCCGGCGAAGAAGAAGAAGACTGAGGCTGAGGCAGTCCCGGACAAGAAGAAGAAGAGGACTGATGAAGCCCCGGAAAAGGGTGAGCCCAAAACTTTTGCCCGCCGTCCATGCCCAAAGACTTCCCCGGCCAGTGACCGTTGGATTGCAATCTCCCAGACTTTCAAGAAGCATGTGGCGCCCAAAATCGTGGCCTTGGGATTGTACACGTACTCGTACGAGGACAGGGGAGCCACCAAAATTTCCAATTGCCATCTAGCGTTAAGTTTAGATCCAAATAATCGAGATGCGGTTTGGGAATTGGTTTCTTTCCATGTTCCCATCAAGGAGCCTTTCCTGCATATGGCAACGGCGGCCCTCGAGGGCTATGACCCGTCCGACTACGCCAAAGTAGTCTGTGGGAAAGTGGTTGATTTCATGGAAACGCTTCAGGATGTGGAGTAGATAGCTAGCTGACGCAGCGCTTGGGATGGACTCTGCGGCTTCAATCAGTGCTCCCGACTGAAAGCTAACATTATTTCTATTTCATTCACTGCCCATGAAATTTTTGATTCATGTGAAGCTGCGGGTCCCGCAGCGTGTGAAACCATGCTGCCAATTCTTGGGAACTTAGTGTGCACAATGCACACATTTTGAACATTTTGGGGGCCATGTGTGTACTGCTCGTGCATGCCTCGATCATCCCCCCCCCTTTAACCCTGGAATATTTGGGGGGGGGGTAAGGCAAGAAATTTCTGAGAAATATTTCACCTGACCACATGAAATATACCCACCCCCACATGTTTTTTGGGCTTCGAAAAGATGTGGGGGGGGGTCCT